TAGTCTTCACTTACATCTGGGTTTGCGTCGTGATTTCAGGCTGTCTTATTCTGTTCCTTGTCATTCTTGTTGTAGTAAGCAGCGTGTTCTTGACAATGGGTTTCCCGCCCGATTTGATTCTTTACCCTGCAATGGTGGTCGGGTTCATTTTCTCGATCGTGATTGCGAATGCCATTATAATTTGCAATATTGGTGTTGTGATCTCGGTTTTGGAGGAAGTTTCGGGCCCGCAGGCTTTGCTGAGGTCGAGCTCGTTGATTAGGGGCCAGACTCAGGTGGGGTTGTTGATATTTTTGGGTTCGACTATGGGTTTGGCATTTGTGGAGGGACTTTTTGAGCATAGGGTGAAGACGTTAAGCTATGGAGATGGGTCGTCGAGGATTTGGGAAGGGCCTTTGCTTGTCGTGATGTACTCGTTTGTGGTGCTTGTGGACTCGATGATGAGCACGGTTTTTTACTTCAGCTGCAAGTCTTATTATTACCGCATGGAGAATGCAAATGCAGAGAGCGAGCCGGTTTTGGAAGCACTTAATATTGCGCCTTGATAATGCAAATCCCATAAAGAATAAGAAAGATGTGAGTTTCGGCTTTGGATTTAACGAAGTATGTGCCGATGAGGGTTTTCGAAAATGGGTTTTTTTTTCGAAGATTAATTTGGTGATTATCGGTAATATGCATGTAGCTGAAGAGGATGAACGTTTCGACATCCGGGGAGGTTGGATTAGTCAATGGTGTACTATCTTGCAAAAGGTTTTATAAAGTCACATGTAGTAATTTTTTTTTTTTTTTCCAGTTAATATGGTTGTACTTCAATTCTTGGTTGAGATAGTTACTCTGTTGCTACATTTGACCCTGTGGGTTGTAAAATGTTGTTGGTTTTATCTGTCATTTTGAAGAAATTCCATCAATAGCTAGTTGAGTTTCTTGAATTTTCATTTTTCATTTTTGTTGTCTTGTGACTACCCAGTGAATTTATGGTAATGGCATTGAAGTGTTCATTTCACATGAGTGCAGGGCTTGTGCTTATGGGTAAAATGATTGTACAAATTATAGGAAGGAGTTATTACATCTTGATTTTTCTAAAGGTAGAGGCATTGAAGTGTTCCTGAATTTACATGTGTACAGAGATAGTGTTTGTGGGTATGATGATTGTGCTAATTATAGGAAGAAGTTATAATCTTATGACCATCAAATATGTTTAAATCTCCACTAAATACACTAACAGGTTGTTGAGTACAATGATCTGTTATTGTGGCAAGTACTAATTATTGTTGCTCAAAATCAAAACTTTTTAGTCAAAGGTTTCCATATCAACTGCCTAGTTGCTAATAGGCATCATTTCTGTAATTAACATTCTATTTTTTAGTTCATCATAATCAATTATATTTTCGATCTGTATATTTCTGTATACTAAATAATGCATCGGTAAGCAATATTAAATGATATTTATAAATTAAAAATATAAAGTTGATATGCAATATAATCATCTATATTAATTTATTTAAAATGCAATAAGAAATTTTAACTTGTTTAAAAATACATAAAACGTGTCTATCTAAAATACTAAAAACACCTAAAATATGTAGAAATACCTATTATGTCTGATACTATTCTTGAGAAAGGTGTGAAATCCCTTCAATTTTTTAAACTATTATTAAAAAATATCTAAAACACCTAACGTGTTCTATGATATTGCTTATATACATATCATGAAATATAACTATTATATCATATTGAATTTTAAATCATAACACACACGATCTATTGTAAACAGTAACGCTGAGAATATGTTAAGAATACTATGAAGATAATATTACTAGTAATTAAATTTAAATTATGTTTGACGTGATTCAAATATAAATCATTTATGTTTCGCGGACGTATATATTCAAATGTAATTCATCTAACGCTGTAAATATGTGTTAAGATATTCTATATGTACTCGTGTTATGTAGATAAAAGAATGTCTCGTATATAAAATAATATTTGGTTGTGTTATCCCGTATTTAAATTAAAAATCATATTTGGAGGATTTTGTAAGATGATCGTGAAGAAATTAAAAAATTATCTAACAAGTTATGAAATAAAAAGTACGGCATCCCATAATTCTACCGGTAATATTGGGAGATTTTATCCCTTTAAATTAGTTTATAGAACATCTTAGAAATAAAATTTATGAGATTTTATTCACAATTTCATATGAATTCAAAAGTTTGAAATGCAAATTATCAAATAAGCTATTTTCATTTTCTGTTGCGAAACACAAGTGAAAAAATTGTGGAAAATAAAGAAGTCCCTCAAGATAAGGACCAAAGAATATTAACCTTGAAGGAGATGCAAGTTAAACAATATCATTTCTTTGACTTTGTTGTATCTGGAATTTTTTACGATTTGATTCGAGAACAACTTATTGAACTGCCGGAGATGAAACGGACAAGTGGAAAATCCAAAATACTGGAAGTATCATCATTTGGTGAGTCACTCCATCCAAGATTACTTCGTCTTGAAAGATAAATTTTTGCAGCTGCCAGACAAGGCAAGATATCACTTAAAGAAGACAAATGGACTGCAAATTTTGCTTCGGTTGCTAGCTGCAAGAAGACATATGAAAGTTTTGCTTGTAATGTGATAAGCGAGCAAGATGATGTCTCAAGTGATGAGAAATCAATTGATGAAAAAAAACGATGTGACCAGAAGACAACGATGCGGCAGTCTCCTTCACAGATGAAGACTTGTTGTTGGGCTCAAAATTTCATAATAAGCCTTTATTCGTAACTGGTTATACTCGTGAGAGAAGGATGAATCGCATATTGATAGATAGAGGTTCTGCTGTGAACATTTTGTCTTTCCGCAGTCTAAAAAAACTAGAGGTCCCAATGGATGAACTCTCGAATAGTCGGTTGATGATTCAAGACTTTAATCAGGGGGGGCAATGAGCTCTTGGCATAATTAGATTGAAGTTAGTAATCGGTGACATGACTTCAAATGCTCTTTTCTATGTGATAGATTTCAAAACCTCTTATAATATGTTGTTGGGACATCCTTGGTTACATGAGTACGGAGTGACGTCTTCTATTTGACATCAATGTTTCAAATATTTCCAGGATGATGTAGTAAGAAAAGTTCTTGGAGACGATAAACTTTTTACTTAATCCGAGTCTTATTTCGTCAATAAGTATTATTTTAAAAATTTAAAGTCTGTTGGCAATAAAAAAGCTTCATCGAACAACAAAATGGTACTAGAGAGAAGAAAGCTCCATCAAACAACAAAGAACAAGAAATCTCTTAGGCAAGGGTTTTGCATGAATGGACATAAATTTACAGAAAGAAAGTAAATTGTCACAATACATTACAGTGCTTCACAACTTACCAATATGTAGGCCAGAACTCCGATTCCAAATTCATCAACCTCAAAACAGTAGTACTTTCTCCTCCATCCGGCACAAAAGTTTCGCTAGGGACACAAAATTTACGGGAAAAATTCAAAACTAGTCCCACAGGTATAGGGGGTGACAATTTTGGTCCCGACGGAATCAGAAAATATGAATAGTCCCACAGGTTTTAGAAAAACGATCAAAAGTATGACTTTTTGAGCCGAATTTACTATTTCCGGCCCGGAATATCACGTCGCACGCACATGTGGCTTATTTTTTTACACTCATTATATTTCTTAGATCCGCCCCTGACACAGGCAAAGACGGATCTAAATGGGGTCCAGGAGGGGCCATGGACCCTCCTCATTTTTTTATTTAAATATCATTATATATATATATACACATATAAAAAAGAAAACACTATAAAATATGGACAAAAATACAAAAAAATATTCATAATATATAAATAATTAAAACTTAGTTTCTATTATATTTTAATTTAAATTAATATAAATAATTAAAACTTAGTTTCTGTGCTGTTTATTGAAAAATATACTAACGATCCTTATATTTTACATTATTAGATAAATTTTTAAACATATTTATAGTGATTTACTCTTTCGCCCACTTAATTGTAAATCGATTTAGTGATTTATAAAACCGAGTATTTAGTTGGATTGTTAAATTTTTGAATGTTTATTTGTTTACTTTATTTTTTTATGTAATCACATAGTTTTAATTTTATTTATTTTTTTCTTAAAAAAATGTGGTCGTTTGATAAGCTCTAATAAAAAAAAATGCAATGCAACGTGCTGTAAATGTTAAATTTAAATAAAAAAACTTAATTTTTTTTATAAATTTCGATGGATTTTGATCAGTAGTTAGAAAACTATTAATCAATAGTTAGCTTTTTCTAGCCTACTAACCAAAATCAGGCCGTTGGGTTTTCATAAGATTTAATTCGTTAGAAAATTCGTCCTCCAAGCTTTCAAATGACACGTTTTAATCAAAAATCGGATACCTTGATTATCAGAAAACTTGAATTGAAATTTTTTCTATACATACGTGCTCCTACTATCTTCGTCGATCGATTACAGAGGTATCAGTTTTCAGAAATCGACAAACCATACCACATTTTGTTAGTCCCGCCATGGACTTTAAATACCCTAAATCAAAGATCAATTTAAAAATCGTTAATTGAATTAAAAACTTTTTTGTGTCATATTAGAGTTTTCAATCGATGAGGCAAATTATCAGTTTCGATTATTACGAGAGACAAATTGTCAAGAAAAAAGTTTGTAAGGCAAACTCTAAAAATCTACAGTTTGGGAGGTTAATAAAAAAATTCCCATTAAAATTTATGATGGGTCCAATTATGGTATTGAGACTTGTTGGGAATTTTGGTTTTAATCATGCACGCTTATAATTATTAAACAGAACAAATTATTCAGACGATTAACAAGCTGTGAACTTTTTTCCTCATACTTGCCCCATCCACTCTCTTACCCTTTCCCCCTTCTGTTTCATTCCCACTATTTCCACTCCTCAGGGATAGAGTGATTGTGATTATGTCATCTTTTCATCAGAAAATTACTGGGCAAGATTCAGAAAAATCCTAAGCATTAACAAGAGTTGGTGACAAACAAAGAACAAGAAATCTCTTATGCCAGGGTTTTGCATGAATGGACATAAATTTACAGAAAAAAAGTAAATTGTCACAATACAATGCTTCAGAACTCCGATTCCAAATTCCTTCTAAAAACAGTAGTACTTTCTCCTCTATCCGGCACAAAAGTTTCGCTAGGGACACAAAAATTACAACTTTTCAGCACTTTTCACCACCCTTGACGATGAACTGGAACCAAAAATTGCACCAAATTTCCAAAAAATCAGCAGATTAGATCTAGCAATGCCCCAAGGGTAGTAGCCACCAAACAGATAAAAAAAATCTCAAAAGATCCCAACTTTTCCAGTACATTCAAACCTTCCTAGAATTTCGACAACATAGACGAAGAAGAAGATGGTGCCACAAATTTCGACACATTTCTCTCAGTTTCAGAGCCAAACAGGGCCTTACTCCAATTACTCGACTTGTACGTAATTCTCCTAGGCACTCGGTCACTGTCCTCACCGCCAGACGCATCATATCCATCGCTAGTCGACCTCGAAAAAGGAATATCCAGCTGATGATTAGTCACACCAGGAAGCCCAGCAAGCCTCATCCCCTCTTCCGGGCCCAAAGAGGAAGCCCGACACGGTTGAATGTCAGGAGAATCCAAGCTACTCTCTGGCGAAGAAGAAGCAATGATGCCGCCAATTGGGCCTGGAATAACACGGGGCCCAGCCCGATAATCACATGGGGCTTCCAGGTGTAATGGGGCCAAGTGATTATCGGGCTGGGCCGGGCCCCGAAGTCTTGCCACGTCTGCTGGGAGGCGGATTCGCCTGCTCCCTCGTTTACGGCTGCTATCGGGCCTTGGGCCTGTCCTGCGGCTGCTGCTGCCGAAGCTGCTGTCTGTTTCGTGCATAAAGGTTGAATTGGGCCTTGTTATGGGCCGGAGGATCTTGGACTTCTTTCGGGCCTCGGCAGCGGCCTTTGAAACGTCTTCAGCATTTAAGCGCGCTAATGCCCACGGGCTGATTTTTACTGGCCCGGGATTCTTCTTCTTGGCTTGGTCGTCTGGTATTGTCTTTTTCCCGAGTGAGCTAACGGACTTGTTGTCCGGAGGTACCACGTCAAACTGTAATGGAATCAAGGCTAGAAGTTAAGGTTTTGGGATAGAAGCTGCAACTTTAAGAATCTTGAAAAAAGCTTTAAACCACTTGGTTTGTGGTTGCTACAACCAAATTACCAAATTCTACTCCATGAAACATCTCCAAAAATATGTACATCAGATGATATTGGGAACTCATTTCTCTTAAATGCAGCACGTAGCATAGAGTGAGAAGAGAAACAGAGTTTTTGCTTCTTCTTTTTTTTTTGTCTGGTGAATATTTCGAGCAAACTAAATGTTTTGTCAACAAAGCTGTAGATCCATGGTAACAATGCATTTTTGTAGTCTGAAGTGGGACATTTGTATTTGGGGGTGGAATATAACTTGGTAGATCCCTGCCAACTTTTGTGATAGTAAAGTTATAATCAGTTTTTCATTAAAGACCAGCTTAATTTAATCCATTCATAAATCATTGCGCGGAAGAGTTGATATACTGATTTTTATTTTCATCCTTAGAACTCGAATATATAAAGAGAAAAAAAAAAGGCACAGATAAATTGAAAGAGTATGAAAACAACGTCTAATAAAGATTGAAGAGAAATTCACCTGATCTTCAACAAAGAGTCGTGGTGTACACAATGCTGCTCGATGGAAAGTGTTGAAGGAGCTTGCACTGCTTAATCCCGTAATTGAGCTAACAGTAGACATTTGGGGGCTTTGCTGGCCACCGCCATCTAGTTGCTCTTGCTCCCTCAGAGCTATTATGTAATCATACGTGCTTATCCCCTATTATTACCATACCATTGAGATTGAGAAATGAAAACACACCAGAGAAATATAAATCTAATTACAAAAATGAAAAACCATTGATCTTCGAAGGTTCCGAATATCAACTTGACGTTTGCTTCTAGTTTTATGTAATTGGCGAAGATTTTTTTTTTTTTCTCATTTTTTACTTTTTAGTTAGATTAGACTAGATCAGTGTGTATTTGGTTAGTACATTTCTTATTTCAAGTAACAAGCAAGATAAACAAGAAAGAGAATTAATAAACAAGGCCAACCTTCTTAATCAGAAGGATGTGAANTTAAATAGCTTACAGACATTAGCACAAAAGTTCTGTCTGTTGGCAATCACAAATATTATTACGAACATGCCAATATAAAAATTAAGGGAACAAGAAAAAACACTCACCACTACAATTACAAAAGGAACCACTGAGAAACTGCTTCCCAACTTCGAGCTAATGTCAGTTGAAAATTTCTTCTTCTCGAGAAAACACAGGATAAGTACAAGGATTCCGGTCGACCACTGAAGTATAAGCTGCAACCTCAGGTCCATGACACACAAAACATGTAAATATTCATCAATATCCATCTAAAACACAAAACTAACCTCAAATAATAATATTAATTGACGTTAATATGTAAGTTGATTTTAGGATCTAGCTTTGCCCATATTAAGCTTACATTTCACTGAAAAACCATTCTTTTCATTTACCACTCAAAAATGGCAAAGCTTGGGCAAGGTGGAGAAGGCAAGATAGATCATGTAGTTTTCACTTATTTAATAGCATCTTACTGAAAACACAACGCGTTTTATAAGGTAAATAGAAAACTGATGTTTGAGTATACCAGGAGAAGAGCTGACACCATGAGAGTAAAAAACTTCCGATAGTTCCTTCTGCCAATGCAATTGTTCAGCCACTACAAGATAAGGATATAGATTGTAAGGGCCTTCTGCAGTAATACCAGTGAAACATTTACCCAACTATAAAATTAAATTTACCCTGCAATGATGATCAAAACGGTCGACACACTTGTCACAGATTCTGCAATGCTTACTGTACTTGTAAACCTGTTAGTTGGTGACCATTTTAGTGGAATGGTGCAAGGTTTAGCATGAGTGAATAATAACATATAACACAACAAAAATCTTATAAGAAAGCGCTTGGCTGAGATGATATGATATTTACAGAAATCTTATAAAATGTTTAGGAGCTTACAAGCTTTTTAATTACGATAGGTAAACTTCATAGAAAATATTTTAAGCTCCAGAAACAACTTATTAGTTCAATAGAAGTCCTAAAATAAAAATATGGAAAAACTTAATTCATTGAGGGACTTCAACTTCTCTCCTATACAAGAACATAAGATCTTACTTAAACAACCGACATTTAGTTTTAATTGTTTAAATAACAAAATATTATCTTTATTTATCCTACCAATCCAAGAATTTGTTTTCAAAATAAAACCACAAAGGGGGATAACAAGATTTTTACCCGAACACCTTCTAAATCTTACAATCACTATACCAAATNAAAATTATCACCAATTTACCAGTGAAATTCAAGACATTATGCAGTACCAATCAATTATATCGATAAGAGGAACAAATGTACTGCACGAACCTCTACTTCACACAAACTACAGTAGAACATCCCATCTTCGCTCTGTTGACAAGAAGATTCCTCGTGTGAGCTGCAAACATAAGCACATGGCAATAAAGCCAAAATGCCCCGGAAGTAAGTGCCCTCACGTTCAGTTTCTTTATCACAATGAGCTCCATTCTTCATATCCAATTTTCTTTTATTGTTAGCTTCCTCACTAACGGCCTTAGCCTTGGCATCACAAACGGACTCTCCACCATTGTTTGGCTCGGTTGGTTTGTTGTTATCAGGAATATTAAGATATTTTTTCGATCTAAACACTCCAGGATCAGCAGGGTCAGCACCAGCACACCAAACGTAGAGACCAAATGCACAAATTAGCTGGGAGAAGTTGACAGGTTAGAAGAATAGACTAGGTATAGCAAGCAAGCAATTTATACTTCAGGTTGATTCGTTTACTTCACAGTAACAAGGCTGCTAGACATGCATATATAGTTTATAGTACAAGCACTTATAATTCCATGGGAAGAGAAACTCACTTGAATGCTATTCTCAACAAATTCCAAAAGCCATTAGACATGGAAAATTAGCATGATAAAAAAGTTAGAGCATAGTATAGGAGAAATATTTTCTGATATAAAGTAATCTAAGGAATCTAATTTTTAGGGAATTATGTTAAAAACAATCAGAAAACAACAAATGATGTGATACAGAGATCATTTTCTTCAAAAGCACACTAAAAAAAGCAATTACCTAGGAAAACCTAAGATAAGGGTGCAATTGTACTTACAAGTGGAGTGTATATCCCCATCACAATATACTGAAACAATTGCTTTCCCACAAATGGCGCAAAGAAAACATAGAAAGCAAAGCCCAATGCCAGAAATACAGCTACAGCTACAACCTGCAAGAGTACATCTCTGCTCATTTTGAATACATATTAACCATAAATACATGCATATATAGAGAGAGAGAAATAAATAGTATATGAAAAAAAAAAAATGTCACAAACATTGACAATGATACCTGGAGTGGATGATAAGGAAGCTGCCATCCATGCTTTCTCATTGTGTTGATTGGATTATGGCAAGCAGGGAACTAGTTTGAAAGATAAAAATAGGCCAAAATGAATAAATAAATAAAATTCAATAGCTGACTTTACTAAACTCCGCTTCCCGCATTTTTCAGATCAATGCTTCACAGTACCAACAACCAAATAAACCTTCTGCACACTCATTCTCCACGGGTCTCACCATTTACAGTCATAAACAGCAAAACAAGAACAAGAAGAAAAGGGGAAATTTTACTTGAAAACAAGCTGCCTCATAGAAGTTTTAAAGTAAAAAAGGAAACCCCACTAACGAAAGTGAGTCTTGCTGCTGGAGGATCACTCAAGAACGCAATAACAAGCTTTTCCCTTGTTCACATAACCCACACCACCAAAGGCTACTACACACATCATAGCCAAAAGAGACTGAAAAAAAAAAAAGAAAGAAAAATAAAGAAAGAGAGCAAAGGACCAGAAAAATATAAAGAAAAAATTGAAAAAAAAAAAAAAAACGGAGAAATCAGAAAAGCCTCCGCCTTTTGGGTTCAAATGGGCATTTTCACAAATGAGTTATTGGCATTTCTTTAATTATTTTGTTTCTTGAAGCAAAGATCTGTGCAGGCAAGGGGAGAGAGAAACAGTGTGTGGGTAAGGAGAGAGAGAGGCAGATATCATTGGCATTTTGCTTTGTGAACCTATAATTACCTCGGGTCCCTTGGCCCGACCTCCTGACTTTCACTTTTTTCACCTTCGTTTCTTTGCGCTGCCTTTTTTCATTGGCAAATTCAACATTGTTGTTTTGTGGCTGCAGGCAACAGCAGCCAGTTGTATAAAGTCCAGTGATCAGTACTCCATAAACCTTTCTGCATTTTATATTTACTCGTGGCAGTAATTTTTCTGTCCACCAACTTCATTTATTGCGCTTTTTTAACCTCTCTCATCTCATGGTGTAATGTCTAGCTCTTACATCCATTTAAGTTACTTCCTAATCCTATCTATATATCTTTGGAAAATGCTATAAATGTACATAATAAATGTACATACATGTGTATATAACACTAAAATTGAGTGGAGTTCACTTGACTTTTTATTTTTGGTAGGTCCCACTCAATGTGAGTGTTATGTACACCACTATGTACAATATTATGTACCTATAACATTTCTCTATATCTTTAATTTGGTGCTTGGAAATACTATCTCGAGCCGAAAAATTCATTCTCAAATTCATTCTGTAGTAACTGTCACATCAAACAGTAATTCATCTCCAAAACTCAGACTCAAAAAAAGGGTATTATAATTTCAATTTTCCAATACTAGTTTCATGATTTATAGATTTTCCATATTATTATATTTGTTACTACAAATCATTATATATCTTTTTAAATTGTTGAAATTTTATTATAAAAAAAACTGTTACTTCAAAATAATTAATTATTGAAAAGTAATTCATATGTATACAAAATTAACTCGTATGTAATAAAATTAATTTATTAATAAATAATTCCTATGTATACGAAATCCAAATAAATATTTAAAAAAATATGAAGTACACTATTCAAGAAAAATATAGCATTGACTTAGTAGCAGATAGTAGTGCAAATAAAAATTGCATAGTGTTACAACTTAATATAAAAGTCTTACTTTTCTATAGATAAATTATTTTAAAATATTTTTATAAATGTTTGAAAAATATGATAAAAATATTTTCATGGTTATTGAATTGAATTTATTAACACCTTGTTTGAAATTACTATCCCTTTTATAACATTCTATATTAATTATTTGAAGATATTTACATGAATAATTTTTAAAATATTTTATAATTAATTTCATGATTATCAGATTGAATTTTTACATATAATAAATGAAGTTTTTGCATACATAACAAATGAAGTCTTTCTTACTCACGGAGCTATTTTTTGTATGCTATTATTAAATAAAAAAATATCTAATGGTAAAAAACAATAAGTACGTAAATTATTTACCTGAAGATCCAGTGCAACACGTGGAGGAGCAGGTCGTGCAAGAAGAGGAAGAATGTCTTGCTCACATGTAGAGTCATAGTCCTCAGAATCCTCTGAGAACTGCAGCCTCTCGGCTGTCGACTCATCATAATCATCCCGCTGCTAGAAGCGGGACTGCTGACTGGTCTGTACCGGAGCGAGTGGTCTCGAACTACCAGCCTGGTCAGCGTGACCAGTTTGTCTTCTGCAAATCTAAAGCATCATCTCATCTCTCTCCCGACAAACAGAAGCATCTACATACCTACTTTTTGTGTGTCAGGGTTCAGAACCATAAAACTCAGCAGCCTATGCATAGGTGGCCGGTCGCATAGGTCTGCCACCAATCTAAATCAATAATTTAAACTTATAATTAGTAAACAACCTTTTTAAATTCATAAATTTTATTAATTATTATAAAATAATTTTAATTAACTATTTATTACTAATATTTACGCTAACTAAGCATAATTAATATTTTCAATTATTACCTTTTTCCTAAAAAATATTATTAAATATTAAAAGTAATTATTTTCCTAAAAAGTATTAAAAATCAATATAATAATTATTCGTAACCACATAATTAACTAAAACAATTTTTTCAACTTATATTAGAATACAAATTATAATGTTTGAAACTAATAATTACTCGACAAACCATTTTGTTACATCTAATTCGTTTATAAAGACACTAAAGTTATATGTATTATCCTATAAATAATTAGTATTATTAAAAAGTGTTATTATCATAATTTTAATATAATTAAATTAAACTAATATATATAATATATTATTTATAAGTAACATATTATTGGTAACTACTAAACCAAAATTTATCTAAATTAACCTAAATCAATATTGTAAGTCAATTCTATTTTTAAATATTTAAATATAATAAAATAATTTCAATTATTAAAAAAATAGTAATTATGGCCGACCGCGGCCGCAGAGCTCACGACCGGTTGGCGAATACAGATGCATGGGGCATGGTCGGCCACCTAGGGCGGCCGATTATGGTGCGGCCGGACATCGATGGAACCGGTTATGGTGTGGCCGACTGCATAGCATTCGGCCGATCGGCCGAAACCGCCCGCGTAAGGCCCGGCCGCGATCGGCTGCCGACCACATCGTCGGCGGTCGGACGATCAAGTTGAATTCTTTAAAAAAAATTTAAAAAATAACTACTAATCGGAAAAAATAAAAAAAACATACTAGAGGAATCATGAAGCTTTTGCCTTGGCCTTGGCGAGGATATTCCATTTTTTCGAAATTTTTTGGAGGTGGGACGAGGCGGCAGTTGAGAGAGTAAGAGATAGAGAGA